GGAGGCCAAAACAACAGGCATGGGTGCCCTCATCATTACGCACTAACTTCGCTGGACAGCTTACCTCGTTGGCAAGCCCGAAACACGTCTTCCGCAACAGATTCTCTATAGTCAACTGAAAAAGTGAAAACGAAATCAAGGAGGTCAACAAAAACGCTACAAGATGTTCTTAAGGAAAATATGGCAGAGTGCCAAATCGATACCAGCAACTGGGAGACGACGGCAAATGACAGGCCCTTATGGCGTCGAGCAGTCCACGGCGCATCAGAACAGCGACGCAAACACGAGACCGAAAAAAGGGGCCGCAGGAAAGAGCGAGAGAACAGAGGAAGAAACAATGCTGTCAGAGACTGGGTGTGACAAGACTGTGGAAGAGTGTGCAGCTCCAGAAATGGTTTATATGAGGTTTATATAGCCATCAGAAAACGCACAATCAAAGTTGTTATTCAACTGAAGACGGCTCTGTTATTGCAACTCCTTCCGATCCTTATTGTATTGCATTATTGGTTCTGGTAGTCTCTAAATGGATGGAATGGTTGGTGTTAGCCATTGTTGTTCATCTTGTTGTTTCTTGTTTAGCCATTTGCTTTCGTTTCTTGTGCGTGCTTTGTTTATCAGGTTTTCAGAGAAGCAGTTTCATGTGAGCTGTGAGGTATTTTTTGCTCCTGCAGTGCCGCATACGTTTACCGAACACAATACCTACCTATGCAATACCGCGGAAGCCAAAATCAATAAAATAAAAACATCAGGGAGCCGTTCACTCTGAAAACCTTAAATTAAACACAAGGAAAAAAGAAAATATCGAAAGAACAAGAGGAACAAGTATGGCTATTGATGTTTTTCAATTTCTCTCTCTTTTTCTTCTGATAAATAGCGTCAGATGACTGTGACTTATTATTATGTATAATTATCTCATAAGAAGTCCAAACATTGCAAGATACCTGAATTAACGTTTTATTGCTAGCTCTCCAAATTGCATAATTTATTTGTAACGCATATTAGTGAATTTCTAAATTGAGTCTCAATCAATTAATCGATTAGAGCTGTACCATTGCTGTACATAAAGACTCACTGACCCAGAAACCTCCGAACTGATGCTGACTAGATGTGTTAGGGGTAATTACTTAAAAAATATGTTATAATGCATACAAATTGCCACGCACCAATACACAAGAAACCGCCAAATTGGGAAAAACTCAACATTGTATGCAATGATCAGAAAGAAAAATAAGTGGCAAGGAACAACATTTGAGAAGAGAAATAATTCTAAGGGGCAGGATGCTTGGAAGAAAGGAACAACATCTTCAGTAAACCACCGGTGAAACTCCAAGAGTTTGGAAACCAATTTCTGAGATTATTCGATTCTCATCATCATCAATCATTTCCTTATCATAATAGCTCACTAATGCTACTTCTAGGCAATCCAGGTCATTAACAACTCCTTTAATTATGCAAGCTTTACATTTTTTAAGTAACTTCATGAATGTGAGTTATGACGTATCACCTTCGAGCAAGCATAATATTCCTTATTAATATTGGATGCATAAAGCATGTGTATAATGATGAACATATATATTACGTCATTATTATATGTTTTTTTTTTTCGTTTGTGAAGACTGTTCGTGAGCATTCACACCAAAGTAGCAGGCGACGTGCAACTTGCTGCTAGGAAGCAGGAAGCACGAAAATTATCAAAATATATGACACATGTTGCTACATCGCATTTTTGCGACGCCACTCCGGTGTGAAACCTGCCATATATTTCTTAAGGTTTTGAAATAAGTAGCATGCTTCTTGCTTCCTAGCAGCAAGTCGCACGTCGCATGCTACTTTGGTGTGAATGCTCACCTAGGTTAGTATTGTCATTTTCTGTGAGAAAATTTATTCGTAGTACCTACTTCATCATCAACACAATGATTTGATTACCATATTCCACTTTTTTGGTTAGTTATATTTAAAAAAAACTATGTACATGGAAAAACGGGGACAAAATAAAAATGTGAGAAAAGAACAGTCGACACATAAAAGTATTTGGAAACATTCAACAAATTCGACTTCGATAATTCAACGGACTTGAAAAAAATATGCTTAATATTGACGAATTCTATTAGAAGTTTTTGGGATATCCCATTCTAGTGAAACTAATAATTGCAAATTCAAAATTAAATTCGCTAATCCATGCCTTACTGATGCTAACAAAAATTTCTAAGCAGAAACCTAATTATTAATAGAGTTCAGAGCTCAGTTTAAAACTAGATTGTAGGATCAGTTTGAGTAAAATAGCTGAATTTCATGATAGGCGTAAGAATTTCAGATATTATTTTAACTCACTGAACAGATAGAAAGCTTATTACATTAAAACCAAATCACGACGGTGAAAATCAAGATATTGGATTGATTGGTGTCACTAATAAAATAGTAATTGTAGCAGTGCAAACAATATTTAAAAAGCAATAGTTATATCAAGAATCCAACTTGGATTACCCTGAAGATGATCCCTTTTGCATGGAAACGGTGGTAATATAATTGGAAGTTTTAATCTTCAACACTATTGTTCTGACCTACCCGTCCAAATCCTTACCACCAGATGTCAGATATAGTAATAACTCAAAAAGTTATACCCACCAAAACTTATATGTACACAGAAAATTTGAATTATCCTGGAAATAATGTTTTTTTTTTTCTTAAATTTACAAGACACGCAAAATGTTGACAAACATAACTACCTAAGTAACGAAAATCAATGGAGCCCTGGTCAGCGATAAAGACTTCCATAGTTCTGTTGATGGATATGTCCTTGTATAACAACAATGTTTACGAAATCCTTTAAAATCCTGTTATCTTTCAAATTGCCTTTCAAAAACTGTCTACAAATAGTCACGTAGAAAAACCGTTTAAAAATTTCCCTCGAACATCATTTTCCCAATTCGCAGCGAAAGTTGAAAATTTTCTCTGCTGGGCAAACAAAAAACTCAAGCACACAATAAATTTACCAAATTGACAGTAAAACTGAGTTTTCACGTACGTACCCTGGCAAAATAGGATTTGAAACGAAGTTTCACACAAATAAAACTCTCGAACGCAAATAGTTTTAAGAAGTACATTACAAAAATAAAATAAAAACTTATGTTCGGAGCACTAGAATCTACATATTCTGGCAAGCGTAGGAAGTAGGATATATACTTCTTTTTCGGAGCGGATGATGAGGATTTATAGCCTTGGTGGGCAGTGGAATAGTCAAGTTAGTAATTGAGAATTTGTTGATCAAGTTTTCAAATCTCACGAATGAGGACCTAAACCGACCATAATAAATTATAAGTTTAAACAGATGTTTTCCAAAAACTACTCTCCCCTCCGACTTTAGAAGTGCGCGGTGTGGAAGAGCTGTTTAACTTTGGAAACTATGCTGTTGGTTTAGCGACAATGAAGCAATTTAGGCAAACAATACACGACAACGGGATGAAACCAGCGGAGAAAAGTATTGCTTGGAAAAGTTTTGGGGATATAAAAACCATATGTCTCTCTTCTTCTGGGTATTACAGAGTTTTTGAATATTTTGTTTTGAAAGCTAAATTGAATAAACTAATCATTAAAGCAAACAAAACCATCAAATTAATATTTTAATTGGTTTAAAACTATTGCAAACTCTTCTTTTTGCTCGTAAATCGCTCCACTTTGAAAAAGTTCTTAGTCTTGAGAGTAAATTGGGTGGGTTTTGAGGTTTTCTTTGACCCCACGCTCCAATCTCTCCTTGTAATTACACTATTGTTTTTGTGCGTTCATTGTATTCGGAATTCGAATTTGATTATAAGGGTCAGACAACGCGGAATTAATTTCAGATTACAAATTGGAAATTTAAAATAAGGGATTTATGTTTTTAAATTAATCATTTTCGCATAAACCCAAAAATATATGCAGGGAGGTTCTAAATATATTTGAAAATTAATTTTTTTTTTCTGTTTTAATACGAAGATATTATGGAGCAAAAAGTTTCTATTGGCCCTTAGATGACTGACAAAGGCAATTTTGCGAAACATCGTCTCTCTCACCCACGAAAATCCCCAAGATTTTCTGTTGGCTGAATTTACCTCCGAAAACTTTGTTGCGGGAACAACTAGTTCATGAGAACGGGATCACGGTGTACTTAGGGAACACCTGAGAGTCGAATAATTTGTAGATGAACTTTAATGATCAATTATTGTTGTTGTGAACCTAACCCCATTTCGTGCTACGTGGTTTGGGTATAAGTGTAAACTTGGATGAAGTTTGCTAATAATTGCAGACAGTTCTGTTCATCCACATTATAAAATACTCCTAAAGATTCCACACCCCTACTATAAAAAATCCATAAAGATTCAATGAAAATAGAAATATTACTCAAATGCCTTGAGCAGTTTCATTTGGAAAATATAACCTAATTAACGAGTCAAATAATTTGCACATTATCTACACATATAATTTGCTAATAAAGTTTAAATGTCTTTCCACGCCATTCTGGCGTTATTACTTGAATATCAGGATTGAGGATAACGGCTGGATTTTTTTACGTTTTCTTCTTTAGATAGCGGGTAAAGCAGCCAAACAAGTTTATTTTTCTAAAATAATTCTTTATTACTAACCAAGCTTTCGATACTTTTTTGTATCTTCTTCAGGGCTAAAATTATATAAGTTAAAATTATAAAATTACAAAATTGTGACTTACTTGTAAGTGAATTATTTAAAATAAAAACTGCATAGATAGGTATAAAATTTGTATAACGACTATAAAGTTAGAATTGTAAAGTGTTTTTGAAAAATTTTTGTTGTTAAAACAAAGTCTTTTGTTATAGGTAAATTTTGTGCTATCTATGTTTAATTTTTAGTTTTTCATTTCTGGTTTTTTTAATAGTTAAGGTAAAGGTTATAATTACGGGTTTATTTTTTAAATTGTTAAAATATATGAATATATGGAACTTAAATCTTTAATATCTTTTCTTTTGTTCATTGAATTTTTTTCTTTGTTAATGTTGGTGTAAAATTTTAGCTTCATTGAAATTTATATTGTGTCCTGTTATATAAGAATGTTCACTAATAGCTGATGAGTCTTTTTCTAATCTGATGTCACTTTTGTGTCCAGAAATTCTATTTTTTAAATTTTGTTTAGTTTGGCCTATGTATATTTTATCACAATTATTGCATGGAATTGAATATACGATATTTGATTTATTTAGATTTGATGTTTGATCTTTTAATTTAGAATAGAGTTTATTAATAGGTTTTATATTTTTATTAGCAATCTTAACATTTTCATTACTAAATATTTTTTTAATTTGAGGATTAAGTTGTTTTATGTATGGTATACCGGGTGCCCACGAGATTACTTTTTTGTTCATCGATATCAACGAAACTTGGTAGGCTTGATATTCTAACGAAACGCCATTTTTTTGCATCCACGACAAGTTTTCCTGACTTCCGGTTTTACCGGAAATTACCGAAACTTTTGATTTTCAAATGGCACACCCTGTATATTTTTTGTTTTTTCGATTCTACAGATCGTTTTACGTCCTAGTGTAACACTTTTAAATCGAGTTTTGTCCAAATTTCGTTTTCAAATTAAATTTTAAGTAGAAAAAAAAAATTACCCACATAATAAATCAAAAATATTTAAACGAAAATTAAGAGAAATGTCGTAGTGTATTATATCGTTGGATTGGCCTTAAAATACTGCATTTAGTGATGTTGTGAAAGCGATATGTTTCTATTCTAGTTTCTGAGCTAGGGCAAGAATACTAAAATAATGAAGTTTACAGCCCTCTATCAAAAAAGTTTACAAAGATAAAATTGAGTTTGTATTTTTCTGAAAATAAGTAAAGTATGTAGAGTCATTTTAGGATGATCATGGCACTCTAGTTAAAAAATTTAACTTTATTTAAAAAACAAAATTTAGAAAAAAATCCATTCAAACGTGGTGCATTAGGACGTAGAACGATCTGTAGAATCCGAAAAACAAAAATATACAGGGTGTGCCATTTAAAAATCAAAAGTTCCGATCATTTCCGGTGAAACCGGAAGTCAGGAAAACTTGTCATAAATGCATAAAAAAGGCGTTTGGTTAGAATATCAACCATACCACGTTTCGTTGATATCGATAGATAAATAAAAAAATAGCAGCCGGAAAGTGATCTCGTAGGCACCCGGTAGAACAATAAAAAATATTATTGTTTATATTATTATTGATGTTTTCTTGTTGATTATTAATGATATTATTATACCTATTATTATTATTAAAAATAATTTTATTCAAAAATTGTTGAGGATATGAATTATCGAAAAGTATATTTTTTAATTTAATGAGATTGTTCTAAAATAATGTTGGATGAACTAATTTTTGAATTCTATTTTTCATTCCTAATATCAAATTAACTTTCATTTGATTACTGTGATAAGAATGATAATTTAAATAACGTTGTGAATTTGTTGGCTTTATGTACCAATCTGTTATTAATGGATTATTTTCTTTAATTATTAGTGTGTCTAAAAAGGGGATTGTGTTGTTGTTTTCTATTTCAATAGTGAATTTCAAATGTTGGTTATAATTATTAAATACATTCAAAATTTCATCAGTTTTATCACAAGGTATGCAACAAATTGTATATCATCTACACATTTTTTAATAAAGAAAACATCACATGAAAGATTCCTCAAACAATCATCAATTAAATCATCCAATACATATTGTGCAATAATTGGTGATATAGAATTGACCATTGGTGTCCCAAAAATTTGTTTATAAAAATTATTATTGAAAGAAAAATAATTTGAGTTGAAAATAAATTTGATAGATTCAATGAATTTTTCTTTAGTAAGATTACAATTATTTGTTATGTTAACCCAATGTTTATTTATACTATCATTGACTAAATTTAATGGGATGTTAGTAAAAAGTGATTTAACATCTAAACTTATCAGTATATGTTGTTCAGGAATAATTTTATTGTTGATAAATTCTGCAAATTCGAAAGAATCTTTTATGTAGTAATTATTTGTTTTATCATATATGAAACTGTTAAAATATTACAAATGAAATCAGTTATTTTTTTATTTGGAGCATCAATACAAGATATTATAGGTCTTAATGAAACATTAGCTTGATGGATTTTTGGTAATCCATAAAATTTTGGGCAAATAGAATTATAAATTTTCAATTTTTTGGAAGTATTTTCATCAATCATATTAGATAAATATAATGATTTCACTAAATTATTAGAATTATTTTGAAAGTATTAGTAGGATCTTTATTTAATTTAGTATAAGCATTTTCATCAGATAGCAAATGATTTGATAAGGATTCGTATTGTTCTTTTGTAATAATGACTGTAACATTTCCTTTATCAGATCTAGTTATGTATATTTCTTTATGGTTCATTAGAAAAAAATTTGTTTTATTATATAGTTTGTTTAATATATCATCTTCATGATTTTTTGAGTGTATAAAATTAGTAATGATGTTAGTTAATTTTGCTCGAAAAATATTTTTTTTTAACAAGCTGAGCTGAAGCTAAGTTGTGCTGAAAGATTGCTACGCAGTGGGTGTGGTTTAAATTATGTTGCCCGACTTTATTTTATCATCTGTCTAATTATGTGCGAAAATACATCGATACTTCTTCAAGTTGATCTGGTAAGATTTTTGACATAGGTACCTTTCTTCTATCTGTATAATCAAACTTTACAATAACTAACATCTTTGGTTCAACAGGAAAAAACATAAACGTGTTATGGAGAAACAACGAGAAAAACGTAGTTTTTTTTTCTGAATTTATGAACAAATTATTACATAACATAGATAACCTGTAACCCCTTTTGTTAAGGAATTAACAGGAAGCCCATAATATGCTCGGTTTGCTCAGCGAATAATTATTAGGGGTGAGTTGATAGTTTAATAAGTACAGTATGGCGAGGGCGCCACTGAATTTTTTTTAAGAATTAAAAATAAAATTGCATAAAATATGGGATGGAATTAAGTATATTTCAAGTTAAATTTTAAAATTTAAAGGTAATGTCGGTAGAAATTTAATCAAATATGGTTATTGATAATAAAATAGATTTCATAGAAAAAGGTAGTAAACGTTTTAATTGAAACTATACAAGCCTCAATTCCAACAAAAAGGTAGATTACGGTAATCGGTAGCCATTCAGTCTTTGGTCACTGGACGAGGTAACCGCACATGAAATCCGCAGGTTTTAGCCTATAATCAAGTGAATAAGAAACTAGAATTGTCGTCAAATGTAGGGCACATGCACGACTCGTGAGGATCTTGATTCTTGTAGGGTAGGAATCCCTTCAAAAGCTCTATGCCACACTCCACGGAAATGGGGTCACTATCGAAAATGTGGCCCTTTCGGAATGAATTTGTTGAGAGAAACGGCCCCTCGAAAGACCCTTAGTAATAAGGCATTCCATGAACAACAATTACTTGAAAAAAAAACTTAAAGAAATTGACCACGAGTAGGATCGAAATTCAAACTTGAATAAAACGTTAATCACAAGACTTTTAATTTAAATGTTCTCGGTAATCAATGGATTATTGCTCTACGCAACTTTATTTCGTTACGATAATGCCTGAAGGCCGATAAGGTACTTTTTCCACGAGAACGGTAATTACACTTGAGGAAGATGGCTGTCCCCAGCCCAGCCAGACTCGACCTTTTTGGGGCAACAGCAAGATTAGAAAAGGGGCTCTTTAATTTTATCTCCCAGAATAAACGATTTCACTTGGCATTTTTGAAGAACAACCTATCAACCTGTCAACCCTCAGCTATGTGAAAAGTACTACGTTCGAAAACTATTAACGAGGTTAAAGAGCAAGAAATTACTACGTCGAGTAGATCAAGGTACTACAAAAGACCTTCTCGAGATCACCGATAAAATAATTAATTCAGCCGGCAATAGATGCTGCCATATGGCTGAATAATTATATAAAATTATACTATGTAAAAATTATTTATATAAAAAAAAACAAGTGTAAAACAATGTTACAAACCTAATAATAGATACATAATATGTACAGTTGCGATCAAAAAAAAGTAGTACAAAAATTATTAACCCCAATTTGAGCTCCCGGTGTAACATACAAAATTTTGACAGTAAATAAACATTTCAAAATATGTTGAGTTCGAGCAATGACATCTAGGTTAAAAATGGGTGGAAAAATGCCAAAGTAATGTCATCTGAAGCCAAAAATATGTCATTTTTGGTTATGAATTAGATTAATGTATAATAGACCAGGAGATTTTGGAGATTTTTCTTGTGATATTTTTTTTTGATCACAACTGTACCTACATGATTACTTTTTGAAATAGTCACAAATTTTTGTCTGTTTTTGTTTTTGACTATATGTTTAACAAATTCTGCCTTAATATACAATGTTACTTGAATAAGTTTTTCTGATGCTTCATGCTTCTAAATCAGCTCTAGGAATAAAAAAAAATGATTCGATCTCTTAGTTTTTTGAAGGTAACACTAATGTGACTACTGTTGTAATATTTTCCTGATAATTAATAAGGTGTTTTCATTCGGGCTTAATGGCCGTCGTAAGTTGGAATTTTTTCCTGACGTTTCGCTAGCACGCGTGGCTAGCATCTTCCGAGGTGCTTCTATGTCCGATTCTGGTAGCAGACTGACGCGTTCCCGACCGTAACTTGTATTTATGTGTGAGTGGCTGTGGTGGGGGAGGGGCGGGGCTTCGCGGCTCGTGGCTAATCTCACCTTTCTCTGTATTCAATAGGATCTTTCTTGCGTTTTTGAGGATTGGGTTCCAGATTTGGTTAAATTTTAGTGTTTCTACTTTCTTGTTGAAGTTCTCCGTAGGTTTGTGGATTTCTATAGCTTCACGTACAAGATGATTGTGGTATCCGGAAGTCGGTGCAAGAAGCATGACCTCACCAAAGAGTATTTCATGATTCCTTTCACTAAGCGTATGTTCCGCAACTGCCGATTTTTCCGATTGTCCTAGTCTACAGTTTCATTTGTGCTCGTTCATCCTGGTTCCCATGGATCTTTTTGTTGTTCCTATGTATACCTTACCACATGTGCATGGTATACAATAATAGACTTCAGCGCTTGACAGTGGGTTCCTCTTATCCTTGGCTGATCTGATTGATTGCTGTATTTCCCTTGTTGGCTTGAAGATTGTTTTTATGTTGTGTTTCTTCAAGACTTTCCCTATCCTGTCTGTCACCCGAGAAATGAAAAACAGGCAATGAAATATTTTCCTGTTCGTCGTCACTCCCACTGTCGCAATTATTGGAAATTTGATTTTTTTTCTTTAAATTCAACAATTCAACTAATTAGGCTTCTTTCAGAATTTTCAGTCTCTAGTTCACAAGATTGTCA